TTCATTGATGACATATTGATCTACTCACCGGATCGACGCAGCCATGAGCAACACTTGCGTCTGGTATTGCAGCGTTTTAGGGAACAGAAGTTGTATGCGAAGTTCAGCAAGTGTGCTTTCTGGTTGCAGGAAGTTGGATTTCTGGGCCATGTGATTTCGGCTCAGTCAAATCATGATCCTCCTCGATTTCCATATGTCCTAACATAGCTGACAACTCAACTATGTTCTCCTGCGAAGATGAGAGTATCTGAATAGCTGATAGAATCTTCTTCCGACTTAAGGCATCTGCGACTACATTCGCCTTGCCCGGATGATATGCGATTTCCAAGTCATAATCAGCTATCAACTCAATCCATCTACGTTGTCGAAGATTCAGATCCTTCTGGGATATCACATAGGTTAAGCTCTTGTGATCAGTGTTGAGCTTAACCTTCTCTCCATATAGATAGGATCTCCAAATCTTCAACGCATGTACCACTGCCGCCAGCTCCAAATCGTGCGTCGGATAATTCTCCTCATGTTTCCTCAGCTGTCGGGATGCGTATGCAATCACATGTCCTTCCTGCATCAATACGCAACCCAAGCCTTGCTTCGACGCATCGGTATACACCTCATACAGTATACCTGGCTGTGGTAATGCCAAGATAGGTGCGGTCGTGAGTCGTTTCTTGAGCTCCACAAAGCTCACTTCGCACTCCGGTGTCCAATCAAACCGCACATTCTTCCCTGTTAACTTTGTCATTGGTTTTGCCAACTTAGCAAAACCCTCAACAAATCTCCTGTAGTATCCTGCCAATCCCAAGAAACTGCGGATCTCTGTGCATAGCTGACAACTCAACTATGTTCTCCTGCGAAGATGAGAGTATCTGAATAGCTGATAGAATCTTCTTCCGACTTAAGGCATCTGCGACTACATTCGCCTTGCCCGGATGATATGCGATTTCCAAGTCATAATCAGCTATCAACTCAATCCATCTACGCTGTCGAAGATTCAGATCCTTCTGGGATATCACATAGGTTAAGCTCTTGTGATCAGTGTTGAGCTTAACCTTCTCTCCATATAGATAGGATCTCCAAATCTTCAACGCATGTACCACTGCCGCCAGCTCCAAATCGTGCGTCGGATAATTCTCCTCATGTTTCCTCAGCTGTCGGGATGCGTATGCAATCACATGTCCTTCCTGCATCAATACGCAACCCAAGCCTTGCTTCGACGCATCGGTATACACCTCATACAGTATACCTGGCTGTGGTAATGCCAAGATAGGTGCGGTCGTGAGTCGTTTCTTGAGCTCCACAAAGCTCACTTCGCACTCCGGTGTCCAATCAAACCGCACATTCTTCCCTGTTAACTTTGTCATTGGTTTTGCTAACTTGGCAAAACCCTCGACAAATCTCCTGTAGTACCCTGCCAATCCCAAGAAACTGCGGATCTCTGTGGCATTGGTAGGCGTCTTCCACTCCATCACAGCCTCAATCTTTGCCGGATCCACTTGTACGCCCTGAGTCGAAATCACATGGCCCAGAAATCCAACTTCCTGCAACCAGAAAGCACACTTGCTGAACTTCGCATACAACTTCTGCTCCCTCAAACGCTGCAATACCAGACGCAAGTGTTGCTCATGGCTGCGTCGATCCGGTGAGTAGATCAATATGTCATCAATGAAGATGATGACAAACTCGTCGAGGTAATCCATGAATACACGGTTCATCAACTGCATAAATACTGCAGGAGCGTTCGTCAGTCCAAAAGGCATAACGACAAACTCAAAATGTCCATACCGTGTACGGAAAGCCGTCTTCTGCACATCCCCGGCCTTCACACCAATCTGATGATATCCCGAGCGCAAATCTATCTTCGAGAACCACTGTGCACCCTGCAACTGATCAAGTAACTCATCAATCCTCGGCAGTGGATACCGATTCTTAATGGTTACCTGAGTAAGTCCTCGATAGTCAATGCACAATCGCATGCTACCGTCCTTCTTCTTGACGAATAGCACGGGCGCTCCCCAAGGCGAAACACTCGGCTGAATGAATCCCTTCTCCATCAACTCATTCAACTGCTTCTTCAATTCTGCCATCTCTGTTGGAGCCATTCGGTACGGAGTCTTAGATACCGGTTCCGTACCTGGAATCACATCAATGCAAAAGTCCACCTCTCTCTCCGGTGGTAGCCCTGGCAATTCCTCCGGAAAGACGTCGGGAAAATCACGAACTACAGG